AAATTCTAAAAATCCTAAATTATCATATAGAACTAAATTAATTTATAAAAGTGCAAATTAACTATTAATAATAATTAACACATAATTAAATAGCAATTACGATAAAATCTCACAATTTGAACATTAAATGCTAAAAATGCAACGTACATTATTTTTTATGATTTTTTGTTCTTTTAAAACAAACTTAATTGCTCCTAATTGCAGAATTAAATCCTAAATGCAAATGCGATATATTTTTATATATTTTTTATTAATTTAACAAATAAACATGCACGGACAAATACAAATAATTATCAAAAAAATACCACGAAAATTCTCAAAATTGCACACAAAAGGAAAATTATTTTATTTTGAATTTTTGGGAGTAATTCTCATGTAGGGCAAAAATCACGTGCTTACACATTTTACTGCATTATTTTTATTTTATAACAAATATTACTTATTAAGTCTTTCCTTATTTGAACTATTATGTAGGAATTTAAAGTTAATTAAAGTTTACCTTTTATATATTTGAACAAATAGCTAATTCGAGAAGATGAAAAATCTTCTTAGCAATAGTAGACCGGTTTTAATAAGAAAAAAGTGACTTAGATTTCAACCAAAATAATCATTAACGTTTAAGACCTTTTCCATTGTTTCGAATCCTTTTGTTCATTTACAAACGGAAGACCATAATTTTATACTTGCAGATTGCAACAAATATTAATTTAACATTTTAATTATAAGTGCGATTAGATTTTATATTTTATATACATGAATTAATAATAGTATTTATAAAATAATTACATGAGATTCAACCAATAACATTTATGTATCTAATAATAATAATAATAATAATAATAATAATAATAATAATAATAATAATAATAATAATATAATCACAAATTTTATTTTGTACACTACGAGTTCTATTTTTAACCTACAAATATTTTAAAATTTGTATGGAGTTAATTAAGTTATAATAATATTTTTTTTATCTACAAGCTACGTAACGAGTGAAAAAGAATACATGTGCAAAATATATTTTCAAAAATCTATCTATCTATACTATTATAAAAGTATGAAACTCTAACACGTTAAGATTTTCACAGAAGTTTTTATTGTCAAACTCTAAACCCTATGTCAGTTAGCTGATCCTGTCTGCATTTTCAACGATGAACTTACTAACATTAGTTTTCTAACATCAGAACTCTTAAATTTTCAGGAGTTATGCGTTTCGCTAAAACTAAAAAAAAGGTATAAAAACAAGTATGATAATTTATGAAATTGAAGTAATAAAATTATAAAACTTGAACAAAATTAAAGCCGGATATAATGATTGAGATGATTGAGGACTTTTATGGGTAGACTTTCTTCCTTTATTGAGTTAGTTAAATACGATCAATAATCATTATTTTTAGGAACTTATACCTTTTCTTTTAACTTGTATTTACAATTAACTCAAATATATTTTAATATAATATTTATGTAAGTTTTAAAAAAATTATAATTATTGAGAGCGTTGCGCATATACTTTTAGGAGGCGAATTTTGCAAATGGATACATGATACTAGTATTTACATGTAAAAGTCCCTATTTATTTGTGCTAATAGCTGTCAGCGGGTAACTTCTAACTGAATAGCTTGGACCGGCGGGAACCCAGACGGGTCACCCCCAAATTGATTGGTATTCTTAGCAGAGAAGGTAACCGGAAATTGAGTAGAAGATTGATTGAAAACGACTCGTGGACTCCCTTCTCTGCTCAATATTACTTGTAGTCTTATTTATTCATTTATTTATTATCAACGTTTCTTGCACTACTTAAGTTATCACACACAGTACCAGAAGTTTCTTCGGAAATCTCTAATCAATAAATCCATTTTTCTGTGTGATTTTCACTGCAATTCATTGTTTGAGTTCAACAATTAAAGAATCGTGCCAATTGCTGTTGAATTATAGCATGAATTAAACCGGAAATTATCGGAGAGAGAATCAAGATATGATGATAAATTTTCAAGGTCTTTCAAAGCAGAAATCTCCCCAGGTATTGCCTCTTTGTTCTTACATACATATATAGACAAAACAAGACAAACTTGCAAATATCATTAAGTATTTTGCAATTGGGTTTTATTAGCAGATTGTATGAAGTTAGTCAATATACATAACGACAAGAATGTGATGGTAGTTAGTCACATAGGAAGAAGTTCATTCTTAGACCAGCGTGGGCATTTGCTAAAGAGTTTTAGGGGTAATTTGCCAACTAATCTTTTGTGTGTGTGTGTGTGTGTTATTAAGTATGTGCTTGACTAGATATACGCATTTTCTCTTCTCCTCAGTGATTTTTTATATGTAAGGCTTGAGGCTTCTGTCGAAAGTTGAAATTTGTACTACAAAATGTTCTTCTTTGAGTTCTTGAGCTCTTTGAACGCAGGGTAAACTGATATCGGAGGTAGATGCGATAGTTCCACCTTAAGCATTGGGTAAACTGATAGGGTTTTAGTTATATATACCGTTAGTGTAAGGAATTTTTACACCATTAGGTCACGTCTACTTAGTGTATCAGATAACCTGTCTTATTTTCAAGATTACTGATCTCTCATTTTAAGGAGACTTACCTGTAGATATCATTTGGGTGACTTGATAGTGTAAACACAGACAGTGTATATACCTTAAACTCAAATTGATATATTATAGTGAAATTGTATGATGTTAACTTCCTTACACCTGAATCATGAATTGGACTTCTAAGAATGTTCTATTGGCGAAATTTAGAAAAAAGATGTGTGCTCTTTAGTCTATAGTTGTAAAGTTCTTATTGACTCAACTTTTTGATTTTCAATTAGTTTTAGTGTGCTAATGTTGACAGGTTCTGTTTGAAGACGCATTTCCGGCGGCTGATCCTGGCACATTGGAGCAATTAAAAGAGTTGAGCTGCAGAAGGAGAGCTATCGAATCCATCAACCAAAATAGCTTTGTGACAGAGGCTATTGCCAGGGAAATGTCTGGGGGATTGACTTCTCGATGTGAACAGGTAGTCATCTTTTCTCATGCACTATCAAGAACTAAAAATAAGATGAACTTGAAAAGTTATCATCTTACTTTTGACTCTAGTGAACAGATTTGGCAAGATTCTAAAACCCATGTATGATGAAGTTTAAATAAGAACGTTTCATCTTTGTTTGCATCCTTAGTCATGGTAAAGTCTTTGTATAATACCTGGTTACTAACGTAGTAACATGGAGATAATAACATTCTGCGTCACTAATTAAATGGACAACCACAACGCGGTATCATGAAGAACACCAGACACAGGTGTGTTAGCCATGAATTTGGATTATGTTAATCATTACAACGACAACAACAAAAAATCCGGCGGGATCCCACAAGTGGATTGTGGGGAGAGTAGTGTGTACGTAGACCTTACCCCCTACCGTGGGAAGGTAGAAAGGCTGTTTCCGATAGACCCTCGGCTCAGGAAAGATAAAAATTATGTTGATCATTGAAAAAACAAAATTAAATAGACAAATAGGTTGGATGGCCTCAATATGCACAAGCAGATTTTTAACCTTTCGGAGCAGTGAATAGCCTAAAGTTTCTCATTTTCATTTTTGTTTCAAACTATACAGAATATACAGAAGGTGGAACAGTATTTACCAATTTTGGGAAACCTGATACACCATGTAAATCTAGTTGGTGACAACCCCAAGATGGTTCGATGGATTTCTGACCTAAAGATTAGGTGGAGCAGTGCTCTCACTTCATCATCCTTTTTTCAACTTAACGGTCCAAAACTTTATCAGATGGATAATTTGCATTCTGAACTTGCAATGACACTTTTCGTTCTTGGTGCATTGTTTCGAGATCGAGCTCTTGAAGTTCTGTCAACAGGTATGTGTGAAATATCTGTCCGTTCCTTTATCTCGGGAATCCTATATCATGCAAATATCTTATTTACTCCTCCCTTACGTCGTGCAGATTTAGTGCAATCAGCCTCCTTTCTCAGAAAAGCTGCAGGAGTTTACCATCATATAGCTCAGGATGTCCTTCCCTGTTTACAGCCTGCATCGGCACAAGAAAGGCCACCAGAAGCTGTAATCAGTGTTTCTGCTGCAATCGCCCTTGTTTGCTTAGCTGAGGCACAGGTTGGTCTTAATCGTTATCCTGTTATCATTTTTCTGCTCAAGCTTTCATACAATGATGACATCTATATTTCCTTCATTAGAATATGAGCATCAACACGGCCTGTTTTTTATGTCTTCTGGTTGGCAAGTAATTATGGTTCTCTTTTTGCTTGCCTGATGTTGGACAATTCCAAAAATTTTAGGCTGTGAGTGTGAGGAAGGCAGAGCAAAAAGGGAATACTGGAGGACTCTTGGCGAAGCTGCACTATGGTGTTTGTAAATTTCTTGAAGAAGCTATGCATACCTTGCATTCAGCCACCAAGCAGTGCAAAGACATTTCATCTTGCTTAATGGTATGTCTTGTTGGTCTACTTTTTCCTCTTTTTCCGGTTCCTTTTATTTGTTCTTTATCTGTCAATGCTTGGATGATTGAGGACAAAATTCTTGCTGGAAAAGTTTAATTCATCAATTTAGTCAGAAGTTTGTTTCCGTAGTTCATTTTGCTCTAAACTTAGGCAGCTAATAGATGGAAATGCCACCCAAGTGGAGTTTTTATTCCTTGAAATACCAGGATACCCGTTTAGTAATACAGAACATAAGGCAAGCAGTAAAATTTCGCTGATGGAGTAGAAATAGCAGAAAAGGATAATATGTTGTACTCAATTTGCCTTAATAATGTTTGGCATGCAAAGGTTTGTGACTTATAGCCTGTTTGGCCAAGCTTTTTTTTGGCCAAAAGAGCTTTTTTGGGCCAAAAGCACTTTTGGCTAAAAATTGAGGTGCTTGACCAAGCTTTTGGAAGGAAAAAAGTGCTTTTGAGGAGAAACAGAAGCAGTTTTTGAGAAGCATAAAAAAGTAGCTTCTCTCCAAAAGCACTTTTGAGAAAAATATACTTAGAAGCAGTTTTCAAAAGCTTAGCCAAACACTAATTACTGCCCAAAAGTGCTTGTCAAATTAATTAGTCAAACACAAACTGCTTCTCACCAAAAGCACTTTTTTTAAAAGTACTTTTGAGAAAATCACTTCTCAAAATAAGTCGATTTTAGAAGCTTCGCCAAACAGGTTATTAGTTTTGTTTAGAAGTCCATGAGAAACATCGCATAGAAGGCCGAAGCTCATGGTAATTCTTAACCATGATATTATACCAAAAAAGCTAAATTAGAGCAGCCTAAGGCAGGTATACTGCCTTTTTCACCTGAAGCCGCAACCAGGAATTGCCATATTTTCTGTTGTAAATGTAGAAAACCCTATCATTATACATTGTTGGAGTACAGGATATATAACAATTTCATGGTACATGAAGCAATTGAATCTTTGCATTTTACTCTAGGGACTCTCTTTTGGGATTTTGAGTAAAATGAGAACAATTCAAAGTTTTGTTTCCTAACGTAGTCAAACTTATAAGAACTGTTGCCTCCATCCCACCCTCGCCTTTCTACTGCAAACTGGAACTTGACATGTCTTTGAGGCGATTTTCTGTCCTATGCAGGATTATATTACAACTTCTAACATGTTACATGAGCTACTCAGTTACAAATATCTTGCGGAGAGTCTTAAGATTGAGGGGCAAATAGGTTTTGCTATTGGAGTTCTTCGGCATGTGATACAAAATGCAGAAAAGCATATACCAAGAGAAAAGTCATGGAGACTAGTTCATAAGCAATTGATCGATGACTTGACTGGACGGCTCCAGAAGTATGAACACGAAAATGAGTTTGTCTGGCATGAAAAGATTCCCATGCACGACGAACTGCCTGTACCTCAAGGTGTCACGATTGTTAGTCCCATACCTTATCAGCCACAAAGGTGGGAAAGAACACTTGTTTTCAAAATCTAAACCTACAATCCCTGTATAGCAGTTCTTTTGTTGGGAGCAGGACTACTATGCATAACCTTTGTAGGCGTCCTTCGTCATTTGAGTGTCTCGAAAAGGTGAAATATTATTGTTAGAGCTCTTCTATTGAGTGTAAATTCCCAAATTTTGGTGCTGCATGAACCTAATAAACGTGCCCCACGTTCCAAAAATTCATTCCGAAGCTTTCTCTCCTCCTTTCTTTTTACATGAGTCTAACCCCGTGCTGCAAATGTGTTATTTTCAGTTATGTTGCGGTAAGAGATGCGAAAATCATGAATCATAACACCTACATTTAACTAGAAGAAACTTAGTACCATACATAACAGAATTATATTACTAGGTGAAGTTTGAGTATTGAAATTAGAGATTTTGGAGATTTCTCCTCCTCCTTATCTCCCCCCTCACACAAACCCATTGTCCCTATCCACCCGCCGGCCACTGCCTCTACTCCGATGTTTCTCTACCACCACCAACAGCCGCTACTCTACCGGAAAAATGCTGGAGCTTCGCCAGAAAATTAAATGACTGTCTTTTTTGTCGTTCTCTCCCATGGCTGCCACAACTTCTTTCCATGTACACCTATATATCATTGTATGTCATATATATGTTAATGTATACACTTAACATACACATGACTTACGATGATATACATTAACACACACTGTACATACAAGACACACATGCAACATACCAGTGATATACACACTTGTCTATTAAGTATATGCCATTGTATATATAGTGATCTGACATATAGGACAAATAGTAAGATATGCATCAGATATACACTATATATACATTAAGCATACAGTGAGATACACCACACATATATATACTCATTTCTACCTTCAAAAAACCGCCACAGAACCACCATAACTACCACCACAAATCACCAGAACCACCAGCCATTCTACTATAACAATACAAAAACAACTTCCGTAAAAAGAACAGGTCTATTCTCCAGGTTCTTTAGGGATTCAAAGACCATATGTCCATTTTAATTCGAATAGCAAAGAAGGTGACTATTAATATGTAATGCAGGAAAGTACGTGTCGTCACCCAGTGAATCAAAAGAGAGGAAAGAGGAGGAGAAAATAACTCTACTATCGGCATTGGCCATCTGCGAAGAGGATGTCAGTGATTGGAGTTATGGCGACGACCTAAGTTGGGGATGAGGGATAAGCCGATGGTTGAATACAAATACAAGTGTAAAGTTAAATATTTACAAATATTTTATGAATTTCTTAATATAAATTCAAGGTCTACCAAGAGTTACTGGGTTCCGAAAATCCATATTGAATGCTCTAGGTTTGCCCCTGATGGTTGGGGTGAATGTGGTAAAGAGAGAGAGATTAGGGTTAGGTGGTAAAGAGCTAGAGATAAAACTAGGAGCCTGATATCAAGGAATTCCTTGTTTCTCTAATTTGCTATGTTTTGGGAAGTGTTGTTACGTTGAGTAATTAGTTGAAAGTGTCATTAAAACTAGTAATTAGGGGTCTTTATTTGTCATATAGTGTAAAAGTTTCTTCAATATTGTATAGTTGAACTGTGGAAAATAAAAAATAAAAAAAAAATAAAAAAAAAAAAAAGAAGAAGAAGAAAACTGTAGAGTAATCCATCTTGGGCCTCTGCCCAAGTAAAATTACATGAGCGCCTTATGGGTCATAACTTGAAAGTGTAGAACACAAATATGGGCCATAACCCACAATAAGTCCTAAATTTTCAAATTCAGAATATACCTAATTCTGAAGTTTTAGTGAATTGACTAATCTTTAAATACATTATAAATTATGAGTATATTTTAAATAGTGGGCGTAAAATTTACCATTGTTGCAGTTCGCCCTTAGTTTTGCATTGGGAGTGAATTATCATATAGAATCTGGTTACACGAAAGCCCTGATAACTAGCCGTGTAGTAGGTACATTGTAGTAAGTCTAAATTTGTGAACTGGACTGTATATATAGTGTATGTGGATTGGTAACTTAGTGGGCGTTTGGACATAAGAATTGTAAAATTTCAAAAAAAAGGTGAAAATGGTATTTGAAAATTATAGTTGTGTTTCGACATGAATATTTTCGGTTATTTTTGATTTTTAATGAGTGATCTGAGTGAAAATTTTGAAAAATAGCTTTTTGGAGTTTTTCAAATTTTTGAAAAATTTCAAAATTCATCTTCAAGTGAAAATTGAAAATTTTATTATCAAATACTGATTTCGAAAAAAAAGTAAAAAAATTCTTATGTCCAAACAGGCTCTTAGAACATATGATAAATTATTATAACTTGTAAGCTATATTGTTACTCACAATAAAAATAAAACAAGCATTAAGGAAGTGAGATTAAATTATATTGTGAATTACACTACCATGAAGACAAAACAATTGAACCAAAAATAATATGCGCTCTATGTTTAATAAGAGTTCCAACTTTAGTACCTGAGGTTCTGCTAAGACTTTATTGCCGACAGGCTCTATTATCTGTTACCTGACATATGTTTATCTTTCTTCCATTATCTTCTTAAGGTTGTCGAAAAAAAAAAATGTGAGCAAATATAAAACATGGAATGGACAAACATGCTGTACAGCAACTTTTTGCCTGTTAAACGTGGTGCACTAGTTGTCTCGGATAAGTTTGTCTCCTGCACCTAGAAGTAACAAATGTTTGGCCAAGGTTATTTTTGATCAAAAGTATTTTTTTCCTAGAGTTAAAGTATTTGGCCAAGGTTTTAGAATATAAAAATTATTTTTAAGTAAAAGCAAGAACATTTTTTGAGAAGCAGTAAAAATAATTTTTCCCAAAAGCATTTTTTTCAAAGCACTTTTAAAAAAAATACATTTAAAAGTAATTTTTAAAAGTTTGATCACACATTAATTGCTGTTCAAAAGTGTTTTTCAAATTAATTAGCGAAATATAAATTGCTTCTCACCAAAAGTTTGACCAAACAAACTATAGTTATTTTCTTTGCATTTTTCCTTTTTATTTGGCTAACATAGAAATAACGAGTTTAAGCTTCTTGAACAATTTGAAAAAAAAACAAGTATAGAAGTAAATTCACAGTTTTATGCCATGGAAGTTTCCAAGAAAATACATGAAACTTCAAAATACGTTGACTTCAGCTTAGCTAAGGTGCCACTCAATCATGAAGACAAAAAGTCATATCTCTGATCTTTCAACAGTTCCATTTTTCAAATTCCAGATCCATTTTCTTAGTTCATCACAATATAAATTTGACTAGCAGTGTTGATAGCACATTGTCGTTGACACTAGCCACAGAGGTTCACATTAATGATTTATATATTAATTTACTACTAGAAATAATTTTCTTTTTTTGCTGCTGATTAACTAGTCAAATGCAACTAATGAACAGTATGAAAATCTCCATGCAACAACCAGATATATGTACGGTACGGTTCATTGTAATTAACTAAAATTCATTTCTTTATCTTTATTTTAAAGAAATTTTGTTGGTCGGAACAGGATATGATAAACGGGATACAAAGAAGGATAGATTGTTAAATGGAGAAAATATTATTGTCTCGTATATTGTTGACAATACCAGATATTAAAGAGTTTCTAAAAGCAGCGAGACTTACTTTACAGCTGTTTTCGTCCATGAGTTAAATACTCCCTCCATTCCAGTTTATGTGAATCTATTTTCTTTTTGGTCCGTTCCAAATAGAATGATGGAAACAATTTAGCTTAAACTTACAATTTTATCCTTAATGAGAAGCTTTTATAACCACACAAAACCTTTAGGTCCCTTTTTGACTTGTTTAGGATCATAAATTCTAAAAGTTTTTATTTTTTCTTAAACTCCGTGCCCAGTCAAACAGGATCACATAAATTGGAATAGAGGGAGTATTTGTTACGAAAACAAAAGATTCCTCATATAATAGGTTAGTTCTGGATTAAATTCTAGTTGCATGAATCTGTACGTCCGAATAATTGAGAAACAATGTAACATCCCGTACATTCAGAATAGATGTGGATATGTTAAATAGGTATTAATTTGATACTTTATACATATGAAGTCCTAGCGGGATGATTATGAGTGAAAATAGTTGTTTTGGAATCAAGACGGACCATGAGGTGCATAAGATTTGACAAAATCGACTAAGTTTGCAGAAGGTCTGTATTCCATCAGTGTTTGGTGAAAATATGTAAGGAATTTGGGAAAACTCAAAGAATGAAAGCCGTAGGCTTTGAAATAAATTTCCAACGATATATTATGGAGCCCGAACGGATCTCTGTGCAAAAGGTTATGCACGTTTTACATAACAGTATACGATATGAGCGCCGGTAGCGCGGCCGCACTAATTTGAGGCAGTGTTACTGCCGTTTAGCGCGGTCATTAGAGCGGGCAAGCCTCCAGTAGCGCGGGCGCGCTAGTGGGGGTTCGTTTTAAAGCTATATTTCGTCCCCCACATCCCCAAAACATAAATACTTGCTCTAGAAAGGGAAGCTCTCAAAAACCTAACTCCTTAAGGGTCCTTCCACCACCCAAGGTAAGTTCTAATGGTGATTCTAAGTTGATTTCAATTTTCTAACATCTTATTAACATGGGTAAACCCTCTGTATCATTAGATATTCGATTGGGACGCCATTGTTGAGAGAAGAAACCCTAGAACTCGAATTCAAGAAGATTGAACGTCAAAAAGGAAATATCTTCACCCTCTAATTGATTCTATCATTGGATTAATGATTATAGACTTTATTCATGAGATATGAGTTGATGAGTTTGATAGAAAAGCATGAACGGTGATAGGTTTGAGTTGTTGATTGATTATTATTGGTTATGAGTGTTGATTACCTTATGGGTGATAAAGAATAATATTGTTTATAACCATTTGAGACTTTAGAATTTATCTAAGAGCAAGAGAATGAGTTATTGGGTGTAGAAACACTATTAATAAGGGCTATGCGACCGAGTGTTTGATAAAATGCCTAAGTGACCAAAACACGAGTATTATTGCTAATATGGAATCCCTTTAACTTGTATTGATATAGATTGAAGTTGAAAGGGTTGGCGAATATTGTATTATGCTCAAGAGCAGGAAGTAAAGGTATGTGAGGCTAACTCTCTATGTTTGGGAATTTTAATGATTCTCCCTACACTACGTTTCTTTTATGACGTTACCAATTGCCTCAGAAATATAGTTAAGCTTAGTTCCTTGAATAGTTGTAGAACTTCTATTCTCTAGCTTCATAACTCGTTCATGACTTTCATTCTGAATGTTGTGAGCTCAGTTCGTATTCAATATAGACTTGGTTTTGATGTCCCTAAGTCTCAGTATAGCTTACTCAGCATGTCATAAACAGTTGAAGTTTCAGTGATCATAATCAGTTCAAGAATACATGTCTCAGTCTAGTCCTATTCAGTATTCCAGTATTATGTAACTCAGTGTGATCCAGTATTCCAGTATCATGTAGTTCAGTGTGATTCAGTATTTCACTATCATATATTGCAGTATGATTCTTAGTTCCCGACTTTAAATCCCTGAATGTTGAACACTTGTATTTGGGCCTGAGGCCGCAGTTTATGCTTTATGCATCTTTGGGCCTGAGGCCGCAGTTTATGCTTTATGCATTTTGGACCTGAGGTCGCAGTTATGTATACGTATACTTGGGCCCGAGGCCGCAGTTGGTGCACATATATATATTGGGCCTGAGGCCGCAACTTAATATTCAGATAAACAGGTTGTTCATCATTCAGAAGAGGGAGTATTCATAACCTTACTTCCTTTATTCAATTCAGTTATCAGTTATCAGTTATCTTTTCGGTTATCAGTTCAGTTACCAGTTCTTACTTCAGTTTCAGTTTCACTAGTTATCATTTCAGTTATCAGCTTAATTTCAGTTTCAGCATTTATAATTCTTTCTTTCAGTTGCTTTACATACCAGTACAATTCAAATGTACTGACGTCCCTTTTGCCCGGGGCCTGCATCTCACGATGCAGGTAATGCTCGGATATATATTATTTATATATGTTCCCGATAGAGAATTATCAGATATCAGAAAAGTATCATACTTCAATTTGAATTTTGAATTGAATAGAAAATTGANTACTTCAGTTTCAGTTTCACTAGTTATCATTTCAGTTATCAGCTTAATTTCAGTTTCAGCATTTATAATTCTTTCTTTCAGTTGCTTTACATACCAGTACAATTCAAATGTACTGACGTCCCTTTTGCCCGGGGCCTGCATCTCACAATGAGGTAATGATTTACAGGTCAACGATGCAGAGCGCTAGGATTCTCGTACCATCTATTTGGTGATCCTCAATTCTTCAGGGGCATTATCATTACTTTATAACCTGTCAGTATTTACAGATAGTTAGTATTTTCAGTACTTCAATAGAGGCTTCATAGACTAGAGTAATAGTTAGACAGAGTCGTAGTCTTTTCATATTGGCTACAAATATATTTCAAAATTGTATTAGTATTTCCTCACTTTGATTTATATCATTCAGACTTTCAGTATATCAGCATGTGTTAGTTTATCTTCCGTGGCATTTTTGGATAATTATTTGTGTTTTTATCTGTGAATGTTTATCCTGTTTTACTTAATTAAAATACA